TATCTTTAATTCACGTCGCAGAAAAGGCTCTTTCGGACAGGATGCCAGTTGACAATCATGTGTTTCCGAATGTCCAAGGTGTTTGGTGGTACATACAGTTGTCTTTCTGTTATTACACACTGATTGCAATTCAGATGAACTGAAAAATGAGTTCTACCGAAAATCGTCTAGCCTACTGCGGAAAGCTTAGACGAAGTCTTCTTAGTGGATACCAGTGGGCAAGTAGTGAGCCATTGCCAGGTAGAAATATACTAACATTATGATCTGTAAATAGAAGCTAAGGAAATTGATAATGGCAACTTTTCGATACGATCACACTCATAGCATCATTCATTCCCAGTCAGTACAAATTTCAGATATAAAGGAAAATATTGTCCGATTCTCTAGTTCCCAAATTAAGCTAAACAGCAGATAGATAGGCCATATGGCTATCAGACAACTCTGGAGGGGGTCGGTGTATGATTTCCGTTCCTTTTGGATTACATGTTTGGACAGCTGCCAGGCTTTAATTTGATTGCTTGCACGTAAGAAAACAAAAAATACGTCATCCCGAGGTTAGCTGCATGATGAAGGTCTTAAAACAGGTTTTAAGGAGGAACTGGCTGAACTGTCATAGAAATATGATAACGTTACTTATTCTGAACAAACCTGTCACCATCTCCAGTTTGAAGTGGAAACAGTGATAAGTACTATGAGCAACCTTCAGAAAATGGTGAGAAGAACACATTAGGCATAGTAGGTCAGTAACCAAAAATAATCTCATCATCGATACAAAGGATTATCTAACTGTAGGGAATGTGTTATGCTGGTAAGGTATTCGAACACCTATCAAGCGTTAAATGTTGCGTAGTAGTTCATTGTATCTTACTCTAAGGTTATTAAATATGGAAATCAAAGATGGAGTGCATTAGAAGGCTTCAGGTTTCCTTTCTAGTACGACAAAAGAAGTAAGTTAGCTGATGAAGCTTTTAAACTTCATCGATTGAGATGGATGAGATGTCTATTATGTCATATGAGAAGTCCAACTGATGACAGGTTACACCTCGTGATATGGCTCAGAATCGATTCCAGGAACAAAAATACATGCATCCAATGTCATATTTTATGGTTTTTCTAAGAATTCCAATTAAATCAATTCCGTACTCAATTTTTTTGTTGCCTTGCAACTTGATATCCTGATGTAAAGTGGTCGATAATCACTAATTGATATACAATCACTCCTACACGCATATTGGAACTACAAACCTATTGCAGTTAATGAAAACAAAAAGATCCATAAACAGTAATAGAGTCTTTTTTTGACTCCCAGAAACATCCCATGACTAAAAATAACGTTATTTAAAAAAGGTGAGGAAAGTACAATGCATTATAATCCCCATCAGAGTGACGAAATTTATGAAAAAAGCCAATCAAAACTCTGATTTTTCATGGTTATGCTTTAAATAAGCCTCTAACTATTGTGATTCTCTAAACAGTAGATTATTCAATATGGTGCTAAGTACATGCACCTACTTAGGCAAGAAATACAAATGAATAGTTACTGAATGATACATGTGAACTTTTAATCTCCATTGTTCATATTACTAATATATACAAATTTGATACAACCCTAGATGCGTCTGATTTCACAGGGAGCGATCTACGCCAGGGTGGTCATCTGGTTTACTTGAGGTAAGCAGACGATATTGCCCTGCTAGGTGAAGACACTGACGAAATACAGGGGTTTCTAAAAGCGTTAGGAAGAAATCTGAGTATGCTTGGCTGGCATGCGTTTCGCATTTATCATATGTAAGATGACGTTCCAAAACTGGTCCGGAACCACTCAAAGTTTAATAATGCAGTGGAATGTGTCATACCAGTCCACTTATATAAGAAGTTGCATCAGCCCGATGAACGGGCTAGTTGCTGACAAGATCTCAGCTCAGATACAGAAGGTCCACCTAACAATAGTCAACTTGCGTCATCCATGGAGCCGACTCACCATGTATCCAACCATGTATTGACAGATGAATATAGTGCACTGCAGTTCGTTCTATCATTTTGTATGAATGTGAGCCATTAACGTTACATGTAGAAGACATGGAACGATCACAAAGTTGTGATCCAAGATATCTTCGTTACATTGATCACGTTTTGTGGAATCAAAGTATGAGTAATATTGATGTCAGGTGAAGGGTACTAGGCAAGACAGGCAAATCGACTAATGAGGTTGTGAACGCTAGTCAGCTGAGATGGCTAAGACATGTACTGCGCATACTGGGTCACCGCCTACCTCGACGTATCATGCTAGGGAAAATATGCATTTGGTTGGAAGAGGATTCACGGTGACCAGGCTAAGACCTGATAGCATCACTCGATGAAGTCTCCAACTCTTGCTCTCAGCCATGTAGGAAGATGCAGACTTTGTGGTTGGGGTCCTTGAGACGAAAGGAATCAGTGGTTTGATGACTGATAGTGATATAGCTGGAAATCTGTCACAATGGTGAAGATGTATTCACAGATTGACATCTTGTAAAGCTTGAATATTTGCACTAACCTTTATCTTCAAGTTATTTATTCTTGCACACAACTTTTCCACTTTGATATCATCAGTCTTTTTCTATGTACTTGTTTTTTTTGTACTTCTGTGAATTGTGGGAAATTGAGCTAAATTAACTTCTATCTAGTTGTCAAGACTTTAGTTCTTAGTGTTGAACGAAGTAAATCAAGAGAAAGCATGAGGTTTCTTCATATTGTAGATGCACATTGCTTAGAAGTATCAACTAATAGGATTTCTAAGCAACTAGACCATCCCACCAACTTAATGTTCAACACCAGAATACAATGACCATAACATGTTGTATCAGTTAGTGAGCAGATAACAAACTTTATCGATAGACATTGATAAACTCTAAGAATCAATTGTTTCAACAACTATATTGATGACCATATAGTGATTGATTCAATTAACATCTCCCCAGTATCTCATGAACATGGAAAATATAAATATTTCTATTCTGTGCATATATTTACAAAATAATGCGCAATGCACGAAAATATCCTTTCTCAAATTTATATCATAATTACGATAACTTCTGTAAAATTAAAATAAAACCGTAACAACAAAAAAAGAAAAATGGAGGGAGATACATTATGTACATAAAATGTGAAAATATAAAAATTTTTAGAAAAATAAAAATAGTAGGAAGAATGTACAATAAATATATTTACATAAAAGAATTTATCTAGCTGTTTGTGGGCATCTATTACGTGTATGACCAGGTTCTCCACATAAACCACAGCGTCTAGGTGCAGTAGATGATGAAGAACTACGTTCTTTAACTCCACGACTTTTGTATCTAGAGACTGAAATAATAAAAAACAAGGAGAATGGTACATTGATAAAAGTCACTGAATAATGTTAACTTTCAAACAACTTTGATGCATTAATATCTGACTACAAAAGATACTATAATACGGCAAACAAATAGTCTACCTCTTGAATTATTAGAAGCAGGAGGAGGCCATAATGGAACATGTCCAATAGATACATTCGTTTCCGTATTAAATGCTGAATTGTGATTATTGGCTCGTTGTCTATAATTTGACCCAGCTGACAAACTACGTGAATTAGGAGATCGCCAATCTGAAAATCCTGATGTAGATGATTCTGATTGTACTGGTGCTGAGTTAGTAGTATCTGCCCATTGGAAGAAATTACAGCCAGATGGTTGACCAGTATCAATGCCTGGTCGACTATTTGGACATGTATAAAAATGACGACCTTTGTTCACCGATTGTTTAGTTACAATCAGTCTAGTTTATAATAAAAGAAAACATAATTGGTAATTATTCTTCAAATCATTGATAACTCATGAAAACCAACAAAGTAATTGAAAGAGTTTCCCATTCAAAACAATCAACAAAACTTATTGATTACGAATGTCCTAGAGAAATGTAAGCATCGACTGTATTTAATCACCTAAAATTAGTCAAAATGCATCGTGATCTTCAGTCTTCTCCTTGATCTATAAACATATTACAATCCAGTGAACTAGACAGTATGAAATTAGTTAATCTTCAGTTACCAATCAGCAGTTGTCCTTCTGATAAGAATAGACATCAATAGGATATACAAAGCTTTCCTACAAGATGGCATAAAGATGATTTGACCAGCTATATAATACTAGTTAAGTAGTTAAATATGAACAAAGTTATGCATAATATTTTACTTTTTTACTAACGAGAAGAGAAGCGAATATATATAAAACATGCTTACAGTTTTGCTGGCTCTCCACATCGACAAACAACACCAGATGAATTTGAATCTGTAAAGCCTACACCTGATGTTCTATCATCCATAAAACCACCACTATTAGTAAAAGTGTTTATAGGACGTGACCATAAATCTACATCATTATTTCTTGATGGTCTAATAAAAATGAGAAAAAACCCAATTTTATAAACAGAACTGAATAATACACCTGATCAATTTATTAAAAATATGAAAAGTCAAATGTATACCATAAAAATCAATACATTGACTTTATGACCTACCAAAGATTCACAAGGAAAGCATACACTAATGAGGTTATTTCTCGAAAAAACGATACCCACTCACTTACCATGTGCACATCTGAGTAGTAAGCAGTGGACCACACTTGTTGTGTGGCTGCTATTGTTACTATCTGACTGCCCAAATCTTGGCAAGTGGAGAGGGGTTCAAACCCGTGACCCATTCCTATATAGTCATCTTCCTAAACCACTGAGCCACAGGTCCTGTCATACAGATGCATCAGCTCAATTTCCCACAATTCGCAGAAGTACAAAAAAAACAAGTACATAGAAAAAGACTGATGATATCAAAGTGGAAAAAGTTGTGTGCAAGAATAAATAACTTGAAGATAAAGGTTAGTGCAAATATTCAAGCTTTACAAGATGTCAATCTGTGAATACATCTTCACCATTGTGACAGATTTCCAGCTATATCACTATCAGTCATCAAACCACTGATTCCTTTCGTCTCAAGGACCCCAACCACAAAGTCTGCATCTTCCTACATGGCTGAGAGCAAGAGTTGGAGACTTCATCGAGTGATGCTATCAGGTCTTAGCCTGGTCACCGTGAATCCTCTTCCAACCAAATGCATATTTTCCCTAGCATGATACGTCGAGGTAGGCGGTGACCCAGTATGCGAAACACATGTCCGAGAATAGTAGAGCAAAAGATTATCAACAGCCCACCATTTATCAAAATGAAATACCTTATTTTGCTATGTACTATAAATGTATAGTTCTTATTCAGTGGAGAAGTGTATAGACAAAAAAACTGAATCACTACGGGTTAACCATTGTCAGTGGATGACATTATGGTGAGATCAGAGAATAGTAAATGCAAACGAATTTACAATCACTAGATTCATGTCGTTATATGGGATAAATATGCTAGTGTAGACGACCTACTATATTGCATATCAATAAAACTGACACATAATGATCGAATTCACGAATGAGCTTGAACGTAAGTATAAAGTATCCTCCTTGGATCTTTTGATGACAAGGCAAGAAGGTAGATAAATTAACAAGTTAGTGTAGCAAAAACCTATATGGATGGGTCAACACGTTCACTTTTATTCAATTATGGCAAAAGAGAGATAATTATTCAAATACCTAACAAATAGAGTAAGAAGAATGTGTCTGTAGCTTAAATTTGCAAATACACATTCGCTACAATTTCTCGTCTTCTCAATGTTATCATGGGAATTTATCAAGAAGGGAAGGGAGATAGTGATAGGGTAAAATAAAAAAATCAGTGGGCTAACCATTATCACCAAAACAATTATGATGTAAAATTATTGCAACCAAGAAACTAAATATCAATTTGTTAAGCTTACACCTGAGTACTGGAATATAAAGGACCAGTCTGTTCCATTGTTGAAGTTGGCTGAGATTTCCATAGGAAGAAGTCACATGAATTACCAGATGTTCCAGAACATCGGTAAAATAAACGACCTGAAAAATATATAAACATGCTAGACAAACAACACTTAAACCTCTCATATATATATATATATATATATATATATATATATATATATATATATATATAAATGCATTAATGGTAATGTGAGTATGCAGAAAGAAGTAAATGCTCAGGTTAGATCTCTAGTGGCTACAAAAGCCCTTCATTCACAGTAGTTCATGGGGTTCGAACACCGACCCACCTACTGATGATTGGATAGCCCTTAAATAACAGATGTAGGTAACTGCCTACTGCACGAATGTGTAAAAGATTGCTGAGTGCGTTTATATGCACTTATGCCACAGGACTACTGAAGGTGAAATCATATGTATTCGATCGGTGATAATTCAAAAGCATCTTTTCTAAGTTTTGGCAAACGTCAAGTGAAAAGTGAAGTTACATAAAGAAGGTATACGAACCGATGAGATTGTAAATCCAAACCAAGTGACCTGGCTGGAATATGTGATATGCGTGTTTAATAATCATTATTTTTCTCTATATAATACGCTAGGTCAAAAAGATAACCAGCCTGTAACACAAATAAATTCACAAGTCTGACATGAATTAGGCTATAGATTTTTGGGATGTGACAATGAGAAATAGTCAAGGTTGGTAATTGAAGATTTTGGATAAAAAAATTGCTTTTCTGTTTATGATGGATAGTGGCTAGCAGTGGAATCCAGGATGCGCGTTTCGTACTATATGGGACTCATCAGCTGGAGTCCCGAAACACAGGCAACATTAACGCATCCACACAGGAGCCCACATGCTAACAGAGGCCGACCAATTTAGTTCAATCAACGAAGGGATAATATAAATTAGGAATACGTTGATATTTTATATGCATTTTGTTCTGTGTATTTACTATCTTGTTTTGCTTTCTCCACTCACATCCTAACCATCAATGTCATCCCAAAGTGGATTTGCTTAGTCTTTCTTTTGTTAATTTACCCCAGCCCCTACCACATGAAGTTCAGCGCATCTTGCTGACTGCTTACATCCAATCAGCAATCGATAGAATTGCACATGGTGAAGAACTACGTTAATAAATAATTATCATTGTCATTTCATATGAGAATGATCTGTTAAGTTATTTTTAGCAACAATAATGAACGTAATTGGATGTATTTCTATGCATAGTAAACAATCATGCCACTATGAACATCATCTGATTATTGCTACAAGTGAAAAAGTTAAACTACAAATACACTTAATTTACCATGTTTCCTATTCATTATTGATATTGGTTACAGTTATGCCAACATACACAATGATACCGTGTTTTAGCATAAAATACACACAATATGGAAGAATGTCTAAGAATATACGCGTACGTTTGTAATTATAATTTTTAATATTATTATTTACTGCTTATTGTTTTTTGGGAAAAAGTAACGAGACCTATATTTGTGCCTGTCAGTAAGCATAGGCAAGCCATATTATGCAACCTTGGTGGTAAAAAATCATGTTCTTTACGGATAGTTGAACCCAAGTTCCTCAGTGTTGAGAATAGTGAAATTTACAGCCAAGTCTTTCAGGTAATTTTTTGGTTGTGGCTAGCAGAAGAATCCAAAACAAGCGCTTTGCCCTATTTGGGACTTGTCAGCTGGGTATACCTGAACCCCAATAAGAAGTCTTGTTCCCACTGAGACTTGAACCTCGTACCCATAGCTTCAAACACCAAGGCGTTATCCAGCATGCCACGGAGGAACGATAGCCACTGTTTGTACAACGGGTAATAGTTATTACTATTTATTAATATGCTTTTTGTAAAACAACAGAGAACTACAAGCATATCAACAAATAGTAATAATAAAACTTGATTGATAGAGATCTGACTCAACTCTCAACCAATGGATCACGGGTTTCAGCTAGATAGCATCCTTAGCCTTCAAATAATAAGTGTGATTCACTAGCTATTGCATAAATATGTACATGTTTGCCGAACACGTTTAGTTAGTTGTAGTAATTATAATCCATGAGGAAACATCACTTTCTTCATGTTTGTAAATATGCCTTGCTGATGTACACCACCTGGATTCTAAGTTTCCTGCTGATTAACTCCCAATGCTTAACACCAAAAGAGCAGTGCACCACAGTATCGCAACATTTAGCTGAGTGATCACATTGTTAAACTTGATCAATAGGCTTCAATCAGTGTTGAAATACTAAGAACGAGACTGTTGTTACATCGGTTACCCTAAAAAAACAACACAGAATATAAGTCATAACTTCTTATGCTACTGGATAGTTTTTTTTCAGATTTGGAGCTATGGTTTTACAATCTAGGAGATCAGTAAAGCTAAATGCGATCCGAATGTATCAATCTGATGAATAGCAGGTAGACTAAAGTGTACGCCTCAAGTTTAAGTGGTAGACACCATCATGACATGCAAAAATATTCTTCATTTATCTAGTAAAGAAATTCACAGGAAAGGAGGACTTGGTTATTTGAATTGTATAAATTTTAATCACTTCAAAATATGGAATTACCGCATCCGCTAAAGTGAGAAACCTTTATTGCACTCATAAAATCTTAAATGGAGAAAGCAGTAAACGAAATAACAATTATTAATAATGTTACAACTTGTTATAGTGTGCAATAAAAATGTCAAGATCTCACAAGGAGTTATAAATCATTAAAGACTTTTACCAGTAATCGTTTTGTTCCGAAGTTTCAGGAGAAAGTAAATGAAACAATGTGTAAATACCACATTAGTTGAAGAGAAAAAAATCAATAAGATATTCTTATATATATATATATATATATATATATATATATATATATATATATATATATATATATATATAACAGGTTATATCAAGTAGTGACTACAAGAATATAACACAACTCAATAACTCTAGATACGTTTCTATGCTAAGATGTTAACCAAGCCGAAATAGCTAAAGTGAGGTTTAGTAATGGAATACTTAGACCACTGAACTACAGTTTTACTTTTTTTAAAATAAATATAATAGTAAAAGGCAAAAGAATAGAGTAGGGTTAAAGACATATAACTTGACTACAAGGAGGTAGGAAAAAAAAGCATTAAAACAAATTGGCTTGGTGTTTGTACTCACTTATGAATGAAAAACCAATATAAAGATAATGAATATGTAATTATCTAATCAATGCCAAGTGATTTTCAAACGCAATTAAGTCTTGCCTTCATTCAAACATAAGACATTAATATACCTTGATTAGGTCCAGGTTTCCGAACAGTCAGTTGAATAGCTGGATTACCACAATTGCAAAGTACGCTTTCTGAATCAATGTCCTCATTATCCACAGGTTGAAAATTAGTTGAACGGAGACTACTATTAGATGAATGACTTGCAGGTAGTGGAAATGGATTAGAATTTATATTTGTATCTAGTGGACTAGATGAGAAATGATGATTATGAATAAGAGACGAAGAGAAGGGAGCTGAGGATGAGACAGTAGTAGTGGAGAAACTTTGTGTTTGTGAATTAACTACACTCTGATCAGGAACAATTTGTCTAGACTGACTTGTTCGTGTACCACCAACGGCTGAACGAACAGATGAGTTATTATTATTATTATTATTATTATTATTATTAACTGTTCACCGCAGGAATACGAATTCCTAATACTCGACAAACATCTTCATCACAGAATATGCAAGTGGTATACCTGCAAAAAAGAAGAACAACAGTATATGAATATTTAAAGAAGGTGGTGTATGCGTGATTTGTATTAGTTTCCTACAAAATTATTCCAAGAACAAATATAGAGTTCAGATATCAAATGTGTATTTAGAAGGTACTGAATATAGTTTACCATAAATCAGTAGTTAGAGAGGAAATTTGTGTGGAAAATCTTAAGAATAAGAATGGTTTCTTATGCATTGAAATTATCAACATCTTCCATAGAATCGAAAATCATGGCATACTTAAAAGACTGAGTGAGTGACCACCCTGAGCTGCTCATAGAACTATCGATCCAGCGTACATTTGGTTGTATTCTCTGAGCTTTCATCGTCTTTCTAGATGATGAAGGCTTAACGATTAAACAACCCACCTGAGAGAACACAGCAAAACCAAGACCATCCACCTGAAGTACAAATATTCTCCACTACTTCAGTGTATATTTCTAGTTTAAATTACTGAATGATAAAGTTCCCAAAATGAGGAGAAATTAAGTTTTACATAGTAGTTTTGAGCCAAAAATCAGATGCATAAAGGATCCTAAACACCATTTGTTACCTGAAGCTAAAGTCTAAAACAAAGAACTAATAATTCACATGATCTATGGACGACATGTCCAGCCTGAAGCCAAAGAAAAATCAAAACTGTTACTCCCTAGACCTTAATGATAATTTTATACATATAGCTTTATTTTCTACTTTTCTATGGTACCTTTCATTTATTTCTGTTTCACGTAGTAACTCAAACATGAGTGAAATACAATAATTTGGAGTATTCACGTACAAACTACTCACAAGTAACTAAAGCACGAAATAGAAAAAATGCATCGCATGAGGTTTCAGGGGATAGTTTCAACGACTTACTCATTATTATCATCCTCTTGAAAATAACCATTGGGCAGATGGAAATTACGTCGAAAGCGTAAGCCTAATTTAGAAGGCCCAGGTTGACTCGAAGAATGTAACAACGATGAGGAAACATAATTTCTACATTGACTGCAAGCGTTTACATTTGATTCAGGTAAAACACGAACATGAACAACACATTCAGGAAACCAAATGGCATACCGACAGCTTGGATAACTAGAACATGAAACGAACCACCCACCAAAAGCACCGCCTGCTTGATTAGTTTCCAATGACCTTCAGGCAAAGTGTTATTTTCGTAGGGTGCATAAATAGGAGAGGAATGTTATACGCAAGAATAATAGATAAATATGATGGAAAGCTTGGATGAAAAAAATGAAGTAAGCATATCTATGCAACAAAATGATAAGTCAATCACAAGAAAACACTTAAAATGACATGCGGCAAGTGAACTTCACAGAACTACATAATGCCAGAAGGTATACTTTCACCATGTGTGACAGAAAGACGGACAAAATCAACGCAAAACCTCGCACATAAGTACATTAGTTCAAGTTGACACATTTCACAACAGCATGATAAGAATAAGTGGATAGAAAAAGACTGATATCAAGGTAGAAAAACGTGTATTGGTGGGGAGAGAATTTAAAAAGAAAAGTCAAAATATGTAAGCTCTGGAGGATATCAAACAATGAAAGCATTTAAGCCACTGTAATGAATTTTCAGACATGCTACCCAGTCTCTCCAGTCGTTTTGATTCCTATCATCTCGAGAACATTAGCTAGACAGTCTAAATCTCCCCACATGAGTCAGACTAAAAGTCAGGGACTTCATGCATTGATGCCACGTCTCAGTCTGACCACCCTGAACCCTCTTCCAACCTAGTGCAACTACCCCTAGCATTGCACATCGAGGCGGTGGATTGACATGCGTGACACATGTTAAACCCACCTCAATCGATGGAGATTTACAACATCATCGATTCACTTGACTTCCTTGCCTAGTACTTTTCGCCTAACCTCGACATTGCTTACACAGTGATTACACCAAACGCGAGCAATGCTACGATGACACCTACAGTCAAAGACCTGTAACCATTTCATGCTTTCTACATTCAACAGCTATGTCCAACAGTCGTATAACAAAACAATGGACTATAGCGCTGTATACTCGTCCTTTAACAGCCAGTCATATACCTCTCCATTCGGTGCCAGAGATCACACGAGTGGACAAATCCCAAACGATCCTTCTTTATACAATATGAGATTCCGTCAACAACCAAATCCTTCAGGCCTCTGCAACTTCACTAATTTACTTCTTATTCTTAAACTAGGAATTGTTACAGACAAGTCCTGAAGCATCACCTTACATATGATAGGTATGAAAAGAATCCCAAATATACTCTGAGTTCTGCTCAAGTCATTCAGCTAACCGTTTATATTGTCAGCGTCTTCATATAGGACGACAATATCGTCAGCGTACTCTAAGTCAACCAGATGCCCTCCAGGGGGTAAATAAATTCACGTAAAATCAGATGTATTTAATGCTACGTCCATTAGTACATCTATTAGGAAATTGAAGAGGAATGATGACTGTGAACATCCCTGGTGGACTTCATCAGTTTTCATCAATTCCGTTGACAGCCCCTCCATAAGCTCTGACACGACTGCATGAGTCCAAGTAAGGAGTTCTGATTTGCATTATATACTTTCTCGGGACTCGCTGCACATCTAGACACTGCCACAACACCTTACAGTCGACAGAGTTAGATACCGCCTTCAGATGAAGAAATAAGCCAAGTGTCGGTCTCTAGCAGGTATGCCTGTGTTCCACAACCTGTCGTAGAGTAATAATGTGATCGATACACCATCCAGATCTGAAGCCTGCCTGGCTTTCTCGAGTTGTTCTGTAGTTCTAATTAGGTGTCGGATGACTATGGAGCCTATGATATTGGACACAGCATTAGTCAAACTAATTCCCCTATGGTTGTCACAGGAAGACTTCTCGCATATCTCATACATTAGAATGATCAGTGAAGCAGACCATAACACATAGTACCAATCTACTTAGTAATTTACTAATTCCATCCTTAAAATCTTCAGGTGACAAACCATCAAGTCCTGCTGTTTTCCATGGTTTAGGATTCAAAACAGTTTTCACAATTACGAGAACAGTTGAAGGGCCGACACCTACGTCCTATTCCGGTTAAGGCTAGATTTTGGGCAACTGTGGTGTTGCTGTGGGCCAATGCTTCAAAACATCCCGCCCAACGTTCAAGCTCTCTGTCCTGAGAGTTTATCAGCGTCCCATTGTTTTCTTCATGCCGGTATCCATTATAAGCCAGCCTAAATGAATACCCAGTGCTCATGCCTTTTTTCATTTCTCCCACTTCCACCACCCACCACTGCTCATGGTCATTGTGAAGACTCTCGGTCAATCAACGGTCAAGTTACTTTCGCTCTTCATCGTGGTCAGAGACAGCTGGAATCATCTTTCCTAGCATCAATTAAATCCGATTATGCCGTGGAAATCTATTGACGTTTGCTGACCTTCGAGTGTAAGTTACCAACCGTTTTTATCGCTGTTTCTATGGCAGAATTAATGTCGAACTGGGTTTACTCAAGATGAGGATTTCTGCTGTCACCTTCAGACATACATGAGCGCGAACTAGTGCATGATTTCAGTCCAAATAGGTACTCTAGAAAGAGCGGCAATCCTCCACCGGTCCCATCCAACGATAACTTATAGAAGTTCGAATTGCTGTGTCCATTGTTGGTTTGATATCAATAAACGTCATGTCACACAGTGTCTCTCTTTATGCTTGAAGTTAGTTCCAGTCACAAACAAGTAACAGTCAGAACAAAATTACAACAGACGATCACCCTTGTCGGCTCGTTGGAATGGGATTTCTTAAATACCCACAAGATGCCTTTCCGATTTGCTCAGCTTCCCTACCTGAGTGTTAAAGTTGCCTGCTACTATGACGACATCTGAACGTTTTGTTTTCTGTAGTTTCTGATAGAATTCATCTTCTGTGGGTGAGTAGGCGGAGATTACGAATAGGGTTCGCCAGGTCTTACGATTCTTCCTAGTTTTTACAGATCCATTCAGTCGAACAACACACGGACGGCTGTTGACTGGTATCCAAACGAGGAGTGCGATTTCTGCTCTATTGCTGAATGCTATCCCTACATCAGTGATTCCAGAAGAGCCACTGGGTCTCCAGATATTTTTAAGGTGAAGTTCAAAGTTTCACTCCAATGGCCAGGTGGGGGTCAAGTGGAAGACCATACTTGGGCCTTGCATACGTGTCTCAGAAACATAGTATACGTCTGTGACTCGGGATACAAGAGTTCTGGTGAGCAATACTTGCAGTTTGATTTGACATAGGGTTAGGAAGTTGAAAGCTCCAAAATGAACTGAATAGCAGGGTTTCAGGACACTAGGAATGAAATTTCGATGGCTTTGATCCCTGGCAACAGTTTCAGAGTGAGAGGGTGAAGAAGCTGTAAGAGGTTTAGTATAAATGTCAGAAGGTGGCGGCAGAGGAGACCGAGATAAGGAGGGTAGATTATGCATGATTGGACCAAGTATACTACTGGAAGTGTGCAGGCGAACGAAACTTCCCGGCTGCCCAGACCGTAGATGCTGTTTCTGCAGGGTAACCAGAAGAGAAATAGATTTGTGTGACCACGCAGCCCGCAGAACATCAGTGTGAACATCTGATACGCACAGCCTTCTAGCGACTGCTGGCATACGATTTGATTCTTTTAACAATAGATATAAAAATCCAGTACCATCAACATCGGAGTACCGTAGGGTAGAAAGGAGTGTGCTATTTTCGTGGCTGACCTTTACAAACTTTCCCTTCCAACTGGGAAGACAGCACCGGTATGGTAGTGTTGGTAATCCACGGGAAATAATTTACTACTGTCACACCCAATCCAGCTAGCAACAGAACGACTTCACACTCGGACCCCCCACCATAGTGTAGCCATTTACACTACAATGGTAGTTGCTTTTCGTCTTATCACTATCAAACAAACGTTTCTGGCATGGTAGGATATCTAGGGAAGAAGGATTCCAGCCAGTGTAGCTTGGTGAGTCATTGTGATATACAAGGCAAATCACCAAACTAAGGTTTCAGCTATCGATCGGTCACAGTAGCGCGATAAATATGAACCACTCAATTATTACAAATAAATGAAACACACTGACCGAGTCGACTGTGAACTACATCAAGATTCTTTACATTGGTGATAATACGAAATTTGAATTAATTCAGTAATGACATCTTACTTCAAATCCTTGATGACAAAAGAGATCTTCCAACCAATTCAAACAGTTCAATAGCAACAGAACTGCTTAGCCAGCTCAACACTTAAACTCATCACTAGCGTACTAGGATGAGCTTAGATCAAACATAAACATGACGAGATATTCAACCGCCTACTAAAGGACAAGTATACTGTACTGCAATCCGTTCAATCCTGTTAAATGGTTGTGAGACACAGCCTCTTCAAAAAGATGATATGAAGAGGTTGAAAGTTTGTAATCACATGAGTCTTCACAGAATTGCTGATATATGGTGTATTCACTGTGTGAGAAATGTTGAGATTAGGCAAAGAACAAGTTAGTCGACGAAGTCACGATCCTTCACCGACTGAGGTGGCTTGGACATATGTTTCCCATGTTAAGCCATTGTCTACCTCAACTTGTAATTTTAGCTGCAAAAGGATTGTATTCTAAGAAGTATAAATGTGGTCGGACCAAAACATGACGCCAGTTCATGAAGTCTCTGAATCCTGGGTCTGCTCCCACCTGGGAATATACAGTTGTAGACACTTGATGACGTGGCTGAAAATCGGTCACAATGGTGCAGATGCATTCACTCTTTGATGTCTTCTAAAGCCTGAACATCTTTACTAACCTTTTTTCCAATTCCACTTCCTCCCATACACTCATCTATGGTATCATTATTTTCCTACCCCCTCTGTTCTTTGCATTCTGCTGTAAAATATAGTAACTTGATCCGTTACACTTCCGTGCGAGGTTCTACGTTCACCTGGTCTGTTTCCTGGATCAGATATTATGATTCAGTTCATAATAACTAAGTATTAGGTACGTCAAAACCTAATAAAGTGGAATTTTCCCAGCTGAATGGAAATCAAAATGAAAATCATGAAACGGTTTTCGCTCGTCTGTTAAAATAACACTGGAGATTTAGTCGTGCATAGGTTAGCATTACGTTGCTAGGATCACTCTAGATAATTAGATTCGAGGAAACAACCACACAAACAATGAAGTGTATGACAGATCCACTTTTGACTAGTATTTATCTACCAAATTAAAAATGTTGATGAACAGTGGGGATATGAGATTTATTAAATGTGCTGCTGTTGACCTTTTTTTGTTTGCCAATACAACAGAAATTCATCTTGTCTAGAAGAGAAAATGGATCAATACCAGTAACCTACGAGGTATCTCCATAGGTCACACAAAGACTTTTGGAAATATTGATTCCAATTATTTCGGGGACCTCAACTAGGCAGTCTAAATCTCTCTAAGCGGTTAAGAACAAGAGTCAGAGGATTGATGGACTAATCCCAACTTCTCCTAGCATGGCACGTTGAGACAGCCGATGGCTCGGCCTGTGCAGAACATGTCTAACCCATTTCAGTCGACTAGCATTCACAACCATATCAACCAACTTACCTGTCTTGCCTAGTACCCTTCGTCTGACTTCAAAATTGCTCACACGGTAATTTCACTAGATGCGAGCAATGCTACGAAGAAACCTATGATCAAAACCCTCTAACTACTTTACATCTACTTTTAACGATCATGTCTCACATCCATAAACAGGACAAAACAAACTGCAATGCAGCATACCCGTCCTTTAAAACACAATTCGGTAAGTTCCAAACGGGCCTTCTGTATCCAAGTTGAGATTTTGTCATCAATCAGTCTGTTCGGGCTAATGCAACTCCCTAAGTAAGTGAAATGGCCAACACAGTGGATATGATTTGCAACAAAACTACCATAACAATTACACGATCGAGTGCATATTACGTTAGTACAAAAAGTATAAAACTAACCCAGAATTGTCTGATTGATTTGAACTAGTTGATATGGAACGTAAAGGATTACGTCTTTGACGGAGCACTAAGTCTGAACGGCATACAGGACAAGAAGCGAAAAATAAATTGGGAACACCGTCTTGACTATAACTACCAGGAATATTGTTAGAAGCAAATGACGCCATCTCGCCAACACTACCAGATATATCTGAATTTATTAAGAAGAGGAGAGAAGAAAATTCGAACAGCTGACAAAATTACGTTGCTTAGACAATTGATTTAAAATAACATTGCTTTGATGCACCGATAACAAGTCTTTCACTTTACTGACTACATAATGTGTACCAATGAAAAAAAAGACAGGCAGGTAGTGTTCAAAGCACAACAGTGTATATCGGGAGATGAACTGAAATCTTTCAAACCAAATCTTAGCAGAAATTACCATAAGAGCAACAGTCAATTTATTTTGATGCTTCAAAAACTCAAAGCAACACAGTTATTATATACAGACTTATGCATTAAGCAGTGACCTATAATTATAGAGTGAACGTTGATATGCTCAATATTGTAACTAACTGATAGAACTGTTGTACAGTAACTCTATCCGTTAAATCTTCAATCAAAATATTTAACTTCAGCTTTGTTTCTATTTGTATTTTTGATACTTATGTGTACTTTTACGGTGATAGAACTGATTAAATATAGAGAGTCATCAAATATCTTAAACTTGATATGATCACCTTTTAGAAGAAGGAAATAAAAATCTTGGCGCTGAATCATTGTACATCCTCTTCTTAACAACCAAACGTACAACCTGACTATCAAAGTTGATTCAAACTGACATGTTCTATATTAAGATTGATTTCATCTTCCATACGCCGTAACAAAACTATTTAAATAGATACGCAGACAAATGAATTTCGCAATACGCAGACGTGAAGATATACCGTTTTATCATTCATATAAAAGTATATTATAAGTCAGTGGCAGAAATCAAATATGATATATACTGAGGCCTTTGAATTGAAGACAGGAGTAAGACAAAGCTCCGTACTATCACCTATGATCTTCCTGATTGTGGTCAACTGGATCATGCAACAGACAACTGTGAGGAGCTGTAAAAAGATGGACATATGCTGCTTGACCGGTGAAAAGACCTCAGAAGATTTGGATTTCACCAGTGATGATGATTTATGTCTAATGTCTTACCTCACTAACTCGAAGATCTACAGGCGAGAACTAACAAGTTGACAGAAGAGGCGAGGCAGTGAAAACGGGACTTCAACAACAAGCACTAATCACCATGAACGGGAAAAACCTAAAGGAAATTGTCTCTTTCACCTACCTAGGCAGTATAGTTTGCATTACAGGCGGGGGCAGAGATGAGGACGTCAAAGCAAGGATTGGAAACACAGCAAGATAGGTCTTCATCAACCTGAAATCAGTATGGAGATCTACTGCACTCAGCATAAAGAACAAGATCCAGATTTTCAACACTAATGCCAGTCAAGTCAGTGCTTCTATAGGATTCAGAAACTTGGCGCGTCACGGAAAGCATTCCAACAAACTACAGACATACATCATCAACACCTTCCTACGCTGACTAGATGTTGAAGATCACATGGCTAGAAGAATAAACAACAAAGAACTCTGGGAACCAACCAACCAAGAACCGATCGCTCAACAAATATGTAGAAGCAGAAAGTGGAGATGGATTGGGAATACACTGAGAAGACCGATCAAAGACATCATGTGGCAGGCCAGGATATCGAGTGGAACCCAGAAGACAAACGAAGAGTTGGGTGTCCCAGCTGAGGGTGACATCGAGGAGATGGTGTGAGGAAGAGATGAAAGTTTGTGGGCAGTCGTGGAGCGAGGTTGAAAAGACTGCAGAGAATAGAGTGCAATGGAGGCGTGCTACTGAAGCCCTATGTTCCACTAGGAACCCAAGGGAAAAATATAATATAATAGTTACCAGCAGGCAATGTATGATTCGTTTATATAAATCCCAGCACAATTGATAAACTTACTTTGAACATTCTCCGCTTCTTGTTCTAATCGAACAGCTAATGCTCGATCCAATAACGAAGCTTGATTCAAGGCTATACGAAATAATTCTTTGTACTTATTCAAATGATAACGTAATACGTCTAAAATGTATGGGGAAAAAAAGATAACGAGATGAATTTCTGTTAAAATAAAAAGGATGAATGGATAATCAAAATAAAACACAGAATGATATCAGTAGGGCAACCGTTGGAAATCTGGAAGCACTAGATAGCTGTTTCGTCCTAATATGGGCTCCTCAGCAGAACACAACCACGACCTGGTTAGGGATGGAACCCAGGACCTTCAGGTTTCTGGACGAACGCATCAACGAGATGGATATCACGAAGTTCTAATGAGAAGTTGTGATGTGTGGGGTCACCTAGTCGGAAGGGAAGTCGATGCCAACTGAAGACCTTAGATGATGTTCGCGCTATATCGTGAATTGACAGGAGTTAGAAACTGTGAACCACTGAAAACCGACCCAGTAGCTGAGTGGTTAACGCTTTCGCCATGGGACCTGAAGGTCCAGAGTTCAATATCTAGCCTGGTAGTGGGTGTGTATTGCTGAGGAGTTCCATACCAGTGAATGAAACGAGAAGATGGAGACGAAGGAAGGAATGCATATTGTACAGTAGTCATCAAATGCTGTACACCTTCCACTAAGACAGTCATTTGCATAATACGCTTCATTTCCTCTTCTGTTTCTATCTTGATTTCCTCCAAAAACGCCCATATTGTTTCTTATGTTTCTCTGGGCAGTATCTTGACCCATCGCTGGTAAATCCGTATGATTTCTGCCGCCCTCTCAACATATACTACGTATATCCATTCCAATCAGTAACGCCCACTACACTAGGACAAAACAGATGTTCAGTCCTCCCAGGTTTTCAATGTTTCTCTAACTGATATCAGTTCATGGTGAATGCTACCTCTAAATTAGAATCTCTATTCCTCTCAGAAAAAACATATACTACAGTTATTTGTAAACGTTCAGAATGTTACTACGGAGCTATTTTCAGGTGATGAAATCAAATCTTAAAATTTCAATAAGGTAAATGAAATCTAGTTTCATAGTATGCTAAAAAGACATCAGGTCAATTACAATGCACTTCAGTGAATTGTGAATTAGAGTATCAGTTACAATCAAATCGGTCAAAATCATTAGTACCGCAAACTTAAGTCTGTCTATCAACCTTTAATAAACGACTTGCGTGCTTAACTCATCGATGTGTACAAAGTTATGCTAAGGCAACTAGCCAGCTGGGGTCAGCGGAACAAGAGAAACCAGTGGTGATATGACTCAGAATCGAAGTCAGTGGCGCAGATGTATACACACACTATTCTTATCTTAACGCTATACCGAATCTCACCATTTTCTCATTCTTCCTTTCTCTCTTTTCGTACTTTATATTTCTTTCGACTGAATTTTCGTATCTTCATCTTACACTTTACTGACTTTTTACTTGATTTACTGATATGAGATGTGGCAACTCGGACCGCTACACAGTAATGCCTCGTCCTATTTTGATAATGATGAAGGCGACACTTCGCATTCGTGGAACTTGGACTGAATACGAAAATAAACATTGTGACGATCAAGTATTATATATATGTATATTAGACTTGTTTATTTCATATAGCATGGAGTAGTATTCTATCAATAATGCGGTGATATTTTAGATAAGATTTATTCCTCATAATGATCCAGGTTGAGGATCATACAACTGGTAATCATACAACTGGCGACAAAAATCGAAAATATGCCACGCATAAAGTAGATAGTGAAATTATTCACTTCCAACAAGACTGAACATTTCACATTACAATAACTTTCAAAGAAACACGAGGAAAATTGATTTGATAAAATATACTCCAAGTGATGTTTTAAGATCAAAGTTACAATAGCTTGGTGAATTCAACTGTGAAACAGATATCACAAGTGAAAATTATCAATGTGGATAGCTGCAGGTCCCGGGTTTGAGCCCCGGAGGGCGGGATCATGGGTACGCAGTGCTGAGGTGTCCAGTGGTCCCAGGTTTCCAATGTTCCTCCAACTGATGTCAGTCCATGATAAATACTAACCTGAAAGAGTTGGATTCTTATTGCGTTTAAACTTCAGTTGAACTGCAAAAATATTGTTTGAGATTTTCGGATCGACAACAACACATGATGCAAATATTCTAAGACAAAATATGAATCAGCTTTTCAGCCAACACTCTAGACTAATCATATCAAAAAGGTGATAATCAGAATTGGTGTAGACTATATCCTAATCCCAAGTAGTAAGATGCTAGGGTAGTCAAATGTCAGAAGGGAACCGGTGTCTTGTCTGTATGGGCCTCCGAACAGCTCACAGCTTAGCATATAACCCTTCGAAAATCCTGTGAATCTTAAGTTAGTCTATCATTCATAATAAGGTTTAAACTTCAAGAGGTTAGTGGTGAGGTAAGAATTGTTATTTGCAGTACGTTACCGCATGGACATCAGGTTTTATGGGCGACACACAACGACTAAGAAGTGGACGGAACCCGACAGATATCAACGTACAGGTCGACACCGCTCAAGTACAAATGTCGAATGGCATTGGAAACGGATATGATATAGATAAGCAAACTAAAAATATGCTGCAACTGAAGTATCATTCATTACTACAACATTCTTGCCACATATAGATAACTTTCTTGGTATATTCGCCTTTTATATGCTCATTTTACAAGGGCCTATTGGCAATAACATAAGTAGTATTAAGATCCAAGCACTGTACTATCACCAGAATTTATCTTCTTACTATGAAAATAATTGTTCCGATTGCTAAAATAAGCATGATTTATCACCTACTGACGCGAATTACTTGTTTTAAATGTCGATAATTTGTTTACTGTTTATGATTCGACACTTTCATCAGCCTATAATAACACCTACATTTTCTTTCGATATGAATTACGAAATCCCACTACATCGTAAATTATATAAGATTTGCAGTAACTAGCCTTCACCTATTCATGTATTAACTGTATCGTATATATTGTTGTTTTTATTGGGCCTGGGGACTGTTAATAACTGGGAAGCAATTAAAATAACGTTAATACTTGTGCAAGAGCTTATAATTAATTCCTAGTAACCATACCTGTAAAAATGGTATGCTCCGATGAATCCAAGAATAGAATATTACTAGTACTATTATTATTATTATTATTATTAAAACAGCTGCATAACTAGTATATGCGTACCAAATTTTGAGTAACACTTATTGTTTATCCGTTGAAGTAGCACAGCATTAGACTGATAAGGCACTTGTCTATATATAACCATGATATAGATATTCCATGAAAATTTTCAACTTGCTACGTTCTAAATCTAATTCTGGTAGGACTGAGTAAAAGTGAGAAATCTTCATCATACACTTGGCGTGATATACATCCATTATGTACAAAGCAGCCCAATACTATATTCAGTGACCAAGGCTACAGAAAGTAAAAGCTGATCAGTTACCAGTCAAGGTCACATAAATTATCTACTAGAGGTCAAGAAAAGTGATCTGACGACTAACAGTGTTAACCTCGACCCCAGTTAACTAAGGTCATCATCAGGAATGAGGTGATTATATTAGGGGATACTACGGTAGTGGGATAAAGAAGATATCTGAATAGTCTGTCAGGAATATATGGTTTCGATTTGGGGGTTTGTGAGGATTTATTGATTGGTTTAGAGTTAGTATTCATCCTTGACTAACATTAATTGGAAGAACATTGGAAACTTGGGAGCACTGAACACCAGTTTCAACTTAGTACGCGACTCCTAAGCAGTGCGCACCCATGACCCCGCCCCACTAGTGATCCGACGCAGAACCTTCAGGTTCCATGGCCAGCACGTTACCCTTGAGCCAATGGGTCAGAATCCAGTTATCTATATTTCCAACTTTTGTCAGTTTACGACACAGTGCGACCATCACCCAATGTCATTGTTGAGTATTTACCCTCACATCCACTAGGTTTGCCCCATCGGTCACGACTTTTACGAATTGACTAACCAGTACATTATATCATGCCAATTATGACTTCTCACCTAAAGTAATCAGTAACAAAGCTAGTCGACAGATCGAAAAGTATTGCTAGGTCAGTAAATACCGATAAACAGAAAACCCTGTAAAATTTATGAAAAATCATTCCTCACCCACCTTCTTTTGTTTTTCGACCTTCGCATATTCTGTAAAACACATGAAAATTAGTAAATAACAGTGCGTAGTTAATTAGAACTCATATAAGTATATATTCTAACGATCACACAGATTCATATGTTAGGCAATGAGTTAAGACTGTTGTGGTGTTATTTTGTAATACTTCCGATTCCCCATTGCTTTATAGGGTTAAACTCCTTGACCTCTGTTGTCCCAGTGACCTAGTAGAGAACGCTTTGGCGTTTGAAGCAATGGTTCTAGGGTTTGAGTTTCAGTGAGAACAATGTCACTCACTGGGGTGCAGATACACCCAGCTGCCGAATCCTAAACACAAAATTCACGCGCTGGATCCCACTACTAGTCAGCAAGATGAATGATATGATGCTACCCTGCTGATCAAACCTTGCTCAGCGGATTGAAGTTTGAAATTGTGACCAACTCATCGGATCTACATAGTCCAATAAGTTAAATCTTCTATGAGCGATATATAACTGATAAGAATGTTAAATAGTTGTTCTCAGACTCACCACAAATAGCTATTGAAGATTAATTTCAGACTAAGGCACAATATACACGCTTTCTCAGCTTCGTGATATGAAGTACAAACGTAATACAATCAGTTGCCTAGCATTTAGAGCAAGATCGATTTATTCGAAGAAGTGCATAGAAAAAGAACTACTGTGTACCCGTGTTATTCTAAGTGGAAATGGATTTACTGAAAAGTTCATCCAAGTTGACATCACTTACAGCAATTCAAAACGAGAATTAATGACAGCAGAGAAGAAGCCTTTGTTCCTACAATTACAATTCAAGTTCGATGCTCCAAGTGATATCCTAAAACAACACCTAACTAGTACTATCAACAGAGCTTTCTATACAGATCGTCTTTGCTTATCTTTCAGTAGTCGATCAATGCTCAATCCAAGACTAAAGAATAGCCTGCCCACTGTTAGCTTCTCATCTTGCATACATAAGTTTAACTGTTGCTTTGGACAAGTTACATAGGATGTACGATTACACAGATACGTCCTCAGACACGAGAACATTTATCGGGTTGGTTTTTGTTAAAGGTAAAGTGAAATCGGTGAAAAGCACTATCCCTGTGCACCTACAAACCACAAAGCATCACAATGAATGGTAATAAAGCTATAAGTGTCATATATCACACACCAAAAAGAATGACATATGTAACTCACCAAAGGCCTGGTCAACATAGCTGAAGGCTGTAGCAATAAAACTGATCGAACCTGATCTTCGCAATCGGAAAGAACATGTTTAAGCGTTATTCCTCTCTTCGTTTTCAATAAACTAAAAGCTACTTTCGTCTTCCTTAATTACTGTCTTTTCTTTTATCGTCACATACGTTACCTTAATATTGAATTTTTGAAAGGGTCTCCAACTCTTTCTCCATCTTAAAAATGTATTTATCTCAAACTTGGCTGGTTTTAACGCCATATAAATGCCTTTTATAATTGAAGAAGTTGATAAGAAATAATTGAAAAAATATTCTTTATTTAGATTGCTGGTTTTTTTTTTTATTAATATCAAATTACTCTTCAGGCAGTTTTCATTGAGCATCAACATCGGCTAAATAACCATTGAGGATTAGTGGTATCTGCTTCTACAGATATCTGTGCTAACAGTCACATCCAGAATCAAGTCGTCCTGTTGAGATATTGTAAATTAAGATAAAAAAATAGACTCTCTAATACTTCTTGATTTACGACAATTGTTCAGCTGATGCTAATGTCTATGGTGAAAACAACTTGTATATAGTAGAATATTCATAAACTACTTCATTATATAAATTTATATGAAAAAGGTTTGGATGTTTTCCAGTGAATTCAATATCAAATTTACTTTCTTATACGGTTTCACCTGAACATTTTTTTGTGATTCTAATTACTTTGAAAGATAATATTTCAAGAAAATTAGGAAATTATTAATAGTAATTAAAAAGAAGCTATGAAATTCGCATACAATTTGACACAGAACTTACAGTTTGAGATCAGCTTCAAATTCAGATCGTAAATTAGGTTTAGACATTTCAAAACCCATTGAATCATAACCTTGAAGTGGGAAGAAAATATGAATTTTAGCCTTGTATAAGAGTAAACAAAACTCATTAATAGATTTTAACTTTTTAATGTTATACTAATATTTTGAATGATAAATGCAGTCTTTAATCAATTTATTGGTATCCAAACAAAGTTGAGATTTGATAGTTTGAAAACATCTGGGTATAGAGTAAATAATATTCATTACTTTCAACACTCATATACCCTAACAACTTTACTATGTTTTTCATTCACCAGGAAATATAAATACCCCAAATAATGAATTTCGAATATCACAGTTACAAAAGTAATTGTTTCGCAGTAATTGAATCAGATTCGATCGGATAAATGAGTAGTGAGTGAGTGGGTGAGTGAGTGAGTGAGTGAGTGAGTGAGTGAGTGAGTGAGTGAGTGAGTTCATCATCACCAATATCAACATAGGACCAGGCATTACTGCTTAACGGTCCAATTTGCCGCCACATCTCATATCACTACATCAAGTAAAAAGGCAGTGAGGTGCAAGATGAAGGTAAGAGAGTGCAGTCAAAAGAAATATAAAGTACGAAAAGAGAAAAACGAAGAATGAGAAAATGGTGAGATTCGGTATAGCATCGTTAAGATGAAAATAATGTGTGTATACATCTGCGCCACTGACATCGGTTCTCACCCATTTCACCTACAGTCTCCAACCACTGGT